TTTTTATCACATGATATTATTATATATGGGTTGCTTCTTACTTATTATTGAAACAAGGAACCACTGCAGTTCCTACGACATGAAGTAAAAACACGGGAGAGTTATACAAGTGAAGATTTATTCATCCCAAAACACGACTCTATTCGAAAATACACTCATTTGTATACTGATTGGTACATCTATTTGACTATTAATTAGGGGAAAGTCACATGAAAAATACCCAGAATTATAACAAATCACATGCTGCATATCGTGCTTAGCATAGTTCATGTCAAATTAATATAGGAATATCATATCTTGAATAGACACCACGCTAAAATAAATCAATCTTATACTGAGTAAAATATCACACTGGAAAATAAAACAAATATTACACTAAATAATCTTCAAGTGGAAATATACTCCACGTTGTCACGCCGACTATATGTATCTTAGGTCGGAATAACGGTCGAGCTTACGTTCATGTAATGCTATGATGAAATTTTTATTTAAAAGAAATTAGATTATTCTGTGAATTTGACTGTGACTATAATTCTTATTCATCATGTCAGACTACGTCATAACGGACATGTGCATCAAATCCTGGGATGAAGTAGACCGTTAGTGAGTAATAGAGGAAGGTTTGAGACTAAGTCTAGTTTTGGTAGTTGTGCTGTAAACCATGTTTTGACACCTAAATGACTGTAACCTTCAGTCTTGAAACAATATCGTTTGCCCTATGTTAGTTAAGTCTTACTGGCCTATGGTTTGTCGGACCGCGTTAATTCATACTGAATTAAAAACGGAAGTAATGGTGAACAAGAATCACAATGAGTAAACAACGTAATTTTGTCTTTTCACCACGTTATATCAGCTATGATGTTCATAATACTCAAAGAGAAGAATGGTGTGATAATGATTAAATCGTGTAAATTATTCAATGTTGAGTGAAGAGGAAAATTCTATTTACGCGTGAACTATCACAAAAGTATAGTAAATGCCTTACATGGAACATTCATCCACACTTCCGGACAGTAAGAATTCAAAAACGTAAAAGATTCGGATGTGTTAACAAGTGCCTACACTCACTACCTCTTCGAAAACGCATTTCAGACTGTCAGCCTAAGATCACAAAATGTAACCACCTCATAGACATTAAGAGCTTTGATGTTAATAAACTTAGATCTTCGCTCATCTTTCTTTGTCATAAATATTCACCAATTTAAGCGACATTTTGACTTCAATATCTGTGACCAGTTATCAACTAACTGTATATCTTATACGCACAAGATTAACAGGAAAGTCATTCACCTTCATTAACATTATATATTCACAGTACAGGAGCTATAGAAATGTGTCAACAACAGATTTCTCTGAATTCCATAATCCTCCGAATTAACTAGTTCATTTAAATAATTTTGTTAAGTATAAGAAAATCAAATACCTAACAAATTCCACTGTCTGTCAAATCAATGTATACTTAAGTAGAATTGTTTTATGAAGAAAACGTTAGTTCACATGAAACTATACTTCATATCTGGCATTTTCTTCTATAAGATTTGTTTAAAGCAGAGTATTTTACTTAAATTATTATTGATCATTTTGTTTGGTCTATAAGACTGTCAAATGTTAACAAAATTTTGTTTACAACAGAAAACGAAATGAAAGGACTTACAAAAAGGTCAAGTAAATCAATAAAATGTAGACAGTATCAGTGCTATATAAAAATTAGGTTATGTGGCCACCGTTTGTTACTATTTGACCTAGAAAAATCGACTAAAATGATGGCTTAGAAAACCCCATTATATACGTCGATTGGCTACTCAACTGTTTTTTTACGGATCGTAGTTTAGTTACTACATGGAATTTATTGCTGTAGTAACAATAAAACTACGTTATATTACTTAAGGACAGTTGACTTCAGCATGCTTAATTCTAAATTTCATCTAGCGACTTTTCAATATATCTACTAAATTACTTCACTGGACATCATAACGGACTTTGATTGCATCTGTGTGGTTGATAAAAAGTAACTTGAAGTGACGAACCATGCTTTTTTTATTTTAATCGGAACATGGTTGAGATTCCGATTATGCTGCTACATAGACTTAGTTCCTAGTTAAAACGGGATTTCAAGACGGTCTTAACAGCTCTGATATTGAGGAATGGAGGTTTTGATTTATTAAGAACCTACGTCTTATCGAAGGTGCTATCAGGCTTCATTGATAACGACTAACAATTAAAGGGCGTTAGGAATTGACCTTACATCGACTACCACGGATTGTTAAGTACCAAATAAAAATGACAGTATGAAATTATCCCGTCTGGCATCGTACAAATCAAAATTGGTTGATGCTTATCAATGAGCGATAAGAAGTGGACACTTCTTATCGCCCTGTAAGCTATTCACATATCAAAAGATTCATAAGGAGAACTTCAGTTCGATTCATCTTCATCAGGGCCCAAGGTTTATTTTCGTGCAGTTCTACTCAACACATATAAAGCCTCTTATGTTCAGCCCGTTTCATTAGTCAAACTTTCGAACTACATCTGTATCATGTAGCAACCGGGTTCGAGTTTTAGTGCAATAGAATTTACTACCAGGAAGTTAATGGTTCCTAACACTTGTGCGTACTTGCATCAATTTTCAGTAAATTGCTCTCGGACACGAAATAATCCAAGTTCTAGCTGGTCAGATTTTATAGAACTTATTTGAAAGTTATTCATGGACATGAAGTTGCAGTATCTTTCATTTCCTATCACAGTTTGTGTATTACAATGCACCTTAGGAATTGGATTTATATGTAGCTTCATACTCTTAGAAATGGATTTTGGGGAACTATTTGTTGAAGTTTCTCCGTATGTTTCCATTTATATATACTCTTTCAGAGGTTTTAGTTACATACTGTGGTGAGCTATGACTATAACTAGCGATGCCGTATTTATGGGTATCGATTAGTCTTATCATACACCAGGAGTTATATGAGGCCTCAGGTCATATTAGCTAACGTGAACTAAATATCACTTTATATGTAATAGGGTTTTTAGACTGTATTAACTGGAAAATAAGTTGGTATCGATATACATATCAGTATATGTATCCAAGTAGTAGAGAATACACACAAGCAAATTAAATAATTAAACAAGTCATTGCTGATTACCATGACAGCTGAAGTAGTTGAGTTGATTTCGACGTTCTCTACTCATTAATTACTAACTGCTAGATTGCAGCTAATTCCACTTCATTTCGTCTGTTCATATTATTTGAATTATTTCAGAGGAGTGCAATGCTAGAAAGGTGATGGCATGCTTTGTGCAATTCTGAAAACGTATGAAATTATGAAGATTAATCATAAGATAGCTTCCATAATACATATGAAACTCCAACACTTGTCAAGAAACCAGAATGACTTAATTATAGTATGCATACAGTTTTTATTATGGATTGACATCTATAGGAGGAACAGTGAAAGCCAGAGTTTTGGAAAAATTTAGGTTTAACCAACTCCCACGAAAATATGGACCACTGTTTTGCTATTTGGTGATGCAAAGTGAACTGCAAGAAATAAAAGATTCGACTTCTTTGTGGGGCTGTGCACGGCCTGTTTTCAAATCCGAAGATGGTTATATAATGTTCTAAGGTTTCAAAGTTTCCTATAAACCAAACACATTATCGACAAAAAGTTCCCGGAAGTATATCTGACTAGATTATCTGCCATATAAAAAATTGTTTCTCATTAGCTTTTTTGTAGTTTTACATCACAGACTAACTTGTTAGATGACCAATGAAAGTCTGGTGGTGGACAGCTGTTCCGTAAGACTATGGGACTTCGAAGAGTTTGGCACTAGTGACTTCACCAGAAACCGAAATCACTTTGACATAACTAGTTGGATTTCTCGAAGAGAACCGTTCTTTAGATTGTCAATAAAAAGACTTGGATAGTGTTTTGGAACTAGTTGGCTAGGCAGTGTGACGAAAGTAAACACGAGATATTATAAATTTGAACAGCCACTGCTTCGTTACTTGTGAATGCTAGATGATCTTTTGTAATGATATCAGACACTGGAGAAATATTAACCAAAGCTAGACAGACCACTACTATTGTTACGGTTATTCCACCCTTTAGACTACATAATCTCCCATCCTTTTCCACTCATTCATGTACATTATGGGTGGCGCATATATATTGGCGCTCTCTTGTACCAATATTTATGTGTTCAAATAAATAAATAAATTATGGGTTTAGATGTGATTAACATACTTAAGGATAGCTGTGAGATGCATCTTAGCTCTAGACGTCTTTTCAAAGCACTAGTTATGCTTCTTAAAATCCGACTTATGCCCATTCAAATTTACAAGTACTGGGATATTGTATCACTCAAGGTATTCTTACATGTTGGATCAAGGATAAATAATGAACATAACACTGGTCATTAAGAAGTGAAATATTACATTCCTACAGGAGCCTAGCCATGTCTTCAAGTTTTATAAGAGTATATTATTGCGTTTAGTCCCAAATTACTTTAATCTAGATAAAACTTGACAAAAGCTGACGTCATCGCCCTCTACGCTTATGCATCTTAAATGAGTTAACTGCATGTAATAAGGTAACACAAATATTTGGTAATCTTTGGATAAAGATTTTCTACATCGAGGAAGCTGAAATCCGGAGATACTACCAGGACACAATACATTTTAATTTACTTCAAACGATGTGTAGCTTAACACGAAGGAAAACTCGTGAGATTTTAGGGAAACCATACATTTAAGGACGTTAGCAATTGACGTATTAAGTTAGATGAGGAAGACAGCGTAGCGCAACAGAGGATTTGGATAACACAAAACACGAAGGTCGCTACATTTTGTTTCGTTTGGTAGAACAGAATGAATTCAGTCATATACTTCAGAACAGAGATAAGTCGATCACTTTACAAGTATAATTAAACCAGTGTTAAAATCTAACAGGGGTGCAAGCACCGGTCTAAGCATAATTAAACCTAGAGATAGACAACCATGTTTGTTACGATCCAAACTTGAACATGATGCCGTATTTTTGACCTCCATTCTCCAAATTCTTCCCATCAAATTGAGTGCACAATGCCAAACACGCATCTGGAAGTAAAAAAGAATCCAGTTTAAATCGTTACTAATTGACTTAATACCTAGTTCTATGAAAAATTAGATAGGGAGAGTGAAATTAAATATCAAATGTCAACAACGTCAAATGAAAGGGATTAGAGTGAACTTTGTAGGATGTGGTGAAATTTAGATACATAAATAAATTAACGATAAGAGATGTTGATAAACGCACTGATCAAAGTGAATTAGTAACGATCGACAATAGGCAGATCTTATGTGATGCACATCTTGAATAAACAAGGAACAGCTTAGCGAGATGGTAAAACAGTAAAGCGCATGTTACATTTAGTATACCATTCCATAGGATTAGAAAACTTGTATTGAAACCGTGGCATGGTGGTTCGGGGGACTGACTTCTAGGATCAAAACCTCACGCACCTATTATAATTTGAGAAACCACGTAATATAATGAGTCCTCACACTCAGTGTGACTCACACCTAACTACTTGGTGAATGAGTTGATTTATCATGCCCATTAGTACCCGGACCTAGTTATCTGTGATAATGATCGAACTGGGAGATGTGTTGATTCATTGAACCAAGAATTCAAAGCAGTTACATGAAATGGGTTATTGGCACAGATATGTAAAAAAAATTCACGGAGCGCTGAAGATAGGATCATGAGGGTTTTTAAGCTTTGAAAAGTAAAAAAAGTTACTCGACTGGATTGATGAAGTTGATTTTGCGTTAATAAAATCAATTTTCGTTGACTAGTGGATTAACAGACTTGATAGTAGTGCTGACTCGCAACCTAACCCTTCTGAAGTCTTAGTTTGATTCAACTATCAATAGGCGCAGGCAGAGATAGTATCTCGCGGTGCACATTTTGACTGCTTGGAGTTGGGTTATGATTCCAGAAAATGACTGACTAATTACCCAACGGATTTACAATACATGACCAATACGGTCGTTAAATAACTTTAATTCTAACAAATGACTACTCATCATTAGATAGACTGTACCTAATGCCATTTTATTTCTTTCCTGATAATACCAGGTTCGTTTTATCGTGAGTCAACAATATGGCACTGCTTGTTGGCATGTTTAATCTTTGTCAACCAACTTGGGGGGGGCAGTGCTTGTTAGTGTATGTTAAGACTTGGCCATATATTACTTCATATCATTTATCATAAATAAGCATAATCTATGGTGCACACTGGTTTTATTGACTGATATGAGGGAAATGCATAGGCCGAAATCTTCATGCATATCAAGGATGCTCTTACTCTGTCAAGTTTTCCTAGCGAACTATACAAAATACTCCTTCAGTATGTGTGTACTAGCCTAATTACTGAAGTCTTTAGCAACAGCACAATGTGACATGACATGTGTAAATACTAATCTACATAAAAAGAAATAATTATAGACGCTGAGTACCAAGGTTTGTGACAAATGTTTCTATATAAATTATACCTGAGTTTAATTTAAGCTTGTAAGCCAGTCCAACTACGCAATGTTGGTCTATTTTGACTTTTACTTTCCCAGTAGGAGAGGTTTTATAACGAAGAGCTGCACCAAATGACGTCTCACGAGTGTCTGGTCGCCAACCAACACGGAAACCTAGTTTCATGTCTTTGAATTTTTGAAAGACGCTCAAGTCAACATCCGAATGCCCGGTGAGTGTAGCATGCACTTGCACATCAGACTGCTTAAAGTTGATTGCATAAACATGTTTGCTAATTTCTGACTTCTCACTGTCAACCACGGCTTGTGCGCCAATACGAAATGCAGGATAATGGGGGATGCTAAAGAGAATAATGTCATAATGAGAACATACGGCAATACGAGTGATCCGGTGATCAGAGGATATTTTGATTTGAAATTCATATCCAGATTAGCATTGAAATATTCATTCTTGAACTTATTTTTTAGCAACAATGACTTAGCTCTGAATAATTAGGTTTGAGGATTTGTCTACTTACCCTGAATCAGGCTCCATTGTAGTTATCACATTATGCGATAAGTCCTCATGGAATTTCTTGTCGACTTCTAATTCACTTGTCATTAGCCATTTAGAATCGACTCTTGTCTTTAAATGAACTCCTGGGGCAGCTTTTAACTTCGACTCTAAGAAACCAGAAACTCTTCCAGCATTTGTGTCGTGTTTGCCACCACATGTCACGGAGATATCATTCTCAGTTTTGGTTTTGAACTCAAAGTTAAGATACCCGAAGCTGAAGTTCTTGTCAAAAATATCACGGGCCGACTTTCCTAAATCGCCAAAACTTGCCACCATTTTTTAAATGGACCCGTTATCCCGCTAGTATCACGACTTATCAATGTCTTATAGATAAACCTACACAGAATAATTCAAATCAAATGCACATTTGACTATTAACAATATATGCTTATTGGTAAATTTTATCTTCATCACATGTATGATCAATGAATGTCGCCTTACTATAGCATAAACATCTGTTGGGTTACTCCAGTCAACAAAAATAAACTCATCAGGTATAAACGAGTAAATTGATGCAAATGACGTATCAAGAGTAATATAGACGACTAGCCAGCCACAAGGTATCACGAAACAAAGATACCCAAAAATCAAAGGGATGGAACCACTTATACGTATCATCTGACGAAATGGATGGGGAGATAGGCTTTTGTGCAGCTTCATGTCGAAGGAGGTACATACTAGTTCGAATATCATAGACTAAGGCACCTGAAAGTACACAATTACCGTTATGGGGTTGTTAAATTGCCAACGTATATATCCAAACCCACTAACTTTCCTATTTATACTCCCACCGAATGACTCCTTACCAATAGCTTCATGAAGTTTTTCCTCCCCTCTCAAAATCGAAGTAGTTCACCCTTCTTAACTGGAGAAAGGTATGGTAGCACAAGAATATAGAAAGGTAGCGACTCAAAGGCTTCCAACCATAGAACAGCTTCTTTGTTCTTAACAGTTGTGAAGTTCAAAGAAAGAGTTGTAAATGAGTCCCTCCGCAACTATCTGCTAAATAACTCCATGGTTCCTGGTTTACGGAAGTTTTCTCCCTAGTGTATCACGAAATGTAAACCTGGAGGCCATATTTGTGGATGATCTGAGGTTTACTCGAGATTGGAATGATATGGCGTAGAGGTTAATACCTGTCGTGTATTGCCTTCTTAAGGTATTCGGTGATCATATGAAACAAACGTGATTTAAGTGAAAAAAACGCTTTAGTAAGCGCAGGTTGGAAGGAACAGAATGCGAACGCTGGCACATGGATCAGTAAACGCATGAGCTTAAATATTAGCCATTCTTGACATTGAAAATGCTAGAAAACCCGTAACGATCAGTGACCTATTGTCCGACGTGGAAATGATTTAGCCTAATGGATGATTTGTCTAGGGTTCAGTAGATTTTCACTGTTCATACCAACCTATGAGCTACCTGAAATAGCCCTCAACCTTGCTACCTGTTCAGAACAGAAGGATTAGGGACTTTTGAGTCATTTCGATGTGTCCTATCGTTGATGTTCGTATTCATCCTTACCGATCTTTTATATTTCATAGTATCAAACCACACTGCAGAGCACATTTATTAGATATAAGTCAGAGACGAACTAATACCAAAACCCGCGTAAACGTTGGTGCAGTTAGAGTCGATCATTTATGAAACTCTTTACCAGAAGCTGTAATAACGGAATTTTATACAGAGGCTTTCGAAAATATGTTGAAAGTCATTTATTTTCACAATCAAAACGCACTCCTGCTTAATGGATACAAAAAACAAAAAACCAATAGTCTACCAATCCTTCCAAGTTAGGTTCGAAGTTTGAATAATTAGTATTGAATAATAACATGAAAATGCTTTGCATATGGTGAACTTACGTGAATCATTATTTTTATACCAATGACTTCTTATAATCATCCCAACTCCACTGTTGGGAGTCATGTAGGATTCAACATTCATGGATTCGATAGTCCATGCATGAACGTCTACATGTCCATACACCGACATAATTGATTAGCTTCTAGACAATGTACAGTGACGAAGGTTTAAGGGTTTAATAATTAAATGAACAGTCCTTTAGTTAATTAAGACACCAAATAAGTCCCACCAGGCTTTTAAGATGTAAAAAGGTTTTCAGTAATTGCGAAACGTTATTTTATAGCAAAAACAATACCAAAGTTCCGACAAGAATTCGTGAACCATTTTCAGAATATGGTTGTCAGTAGAAGAGATCTTAAAATGTCTTCACTATATTCCAAAGGAATTAATAAAATAAATATTTCTGGTTTCATTATTCCAGCACTATTTTTTTTATTCAATCATGATGTAAATCTTGAGTTTGAAATATCGAGTTTGATGCAGCTAAACAATATCAATAATATCACTGAAGTAACTATGTTGACAGCCTTGTAAATCAACCACAAGACCTCCAGGCGCAGGTGCTTCACTACTGCCCATGAAGAATAAGAGGCTCTTAAACATAGTAGAATTCGACCATATCATAGCACTTGGTCGTCGCTATTACAAAATTTCCCGAAATTTCATTCCACCAACGTCCGAAATTGAGATAAGTGCGGAGCACTCAACAGCCAAACAACCACAAATCGTTACGTATTTTGCTATCAAATTACAGGTGAAAAGTTTTCCAAAAATAGACTTGACAAATCATCACACACTAATATATTATAGTAAGGTTTGATGAACAGTGATGATTAATATTTTTGGCTGTATCTATTTGTACAAATGCATTTTCAGTCTTATGAATGTGCCGTCGACATCTAAACGCTTTGATGACCAAATCTTGCTTGATTTACAGTTTGTAAACACTTACTTTCCCAGAAGAGCGGAAACTGAATACCTGAAATACTTGAGTGTGTATTTTTATAAAGTTGGTAGTGATTATACAAGGATAAACTCTAGAAGTGTTAATTTGGTACAACATCCATAAAGCTCTTAAGACAACTATAAAAAATATTTATATTAGCATTATTAGGAACTGTTTGGTTATATTAGAGTCCCTATTGTTTGGCACCCATACCTTCACCTTAGCTGGATAAGAATATGTTCAGTGTTATTTTTGGGGTGATACAAATTTTAAGAAACATCAGAATTATCAACTGTTTTCAGTGTTATAGACTCTGGGATACCTAAAACTGTTGGTGAAAAAGATTATCAATCTGCCGCAAAGCAATATTTGTTATCAGTCATTTTTTGTGTTCACGTTGGATAGTACATTTCGGCAACTGGTTTATTCAGCTGTTGTGTCTATAAAGAACCAAGAATCACTTAGGATTCTGCTTACGCAATCTAGTTCGTTTGTATCTACTTCAGAGCTACGGCGACATCCGTTAGGCAGTAAAGTAGTCAGTTTATTTCTGAAGTCCTAAAAGTCATACGAGTTCATCCTATAAGATTGTTCTAAAAATTTTGAAAATATCTTATTTTTATTAGTTTTCTCCACTTAAAATTTGCTCGATGTGCTTATAGCTTTGTGATCTATCCTGTCCGCTAATGAACTGTAGTTGCCGCCTCTCATTGCCTTCGAATTTTAAACACCATTGAGATTTATATTATAACAGTTATCGAGGTGATAGATGAACGAAGCAAAACCTCTACATTAACACTTGCTTTTGTTAATTTTATTTAGGGAATTTGACATTATGTAAAACTGATCATATTGCTTTTACCGTTTATTGGTAAGATTACTATAGAATACACATCTGATTGCGAGACAAATGGTGAGAATCCCGAAATCAGATAACGAGATTTGTTTAAAATTTTGGAAATAGTCTGGGAAACACAATAAACTATAGGCTAATAAATACTCCTGATCCTTTTGTGTTCAACCATTAGTAAGCTCATTAAAGACACACGCAGCAGAAATATATTTCCGTCAACAAAGTACAAAGATATAAAATCATAAGATGTTTAATGAGTTACAAAGTATATCATTAAAATATTATCGAAATATGATCAAAATGTAATAAACAGTATAGTGAATGGGTAAGTCATTCAATATTAAGTATTGAAGAGTGATTTAAATATCGGAAACAGAATACAGATGTGAAGACCCAACGGATTACGAGGATAAACCCATATAATAAAAAAGTTGGGTGTGAATAGGTCGTTTCACTTAATAACAATACTCAATGCATAGAAATAGTATAAACAATTCAATCTACTTATTAATAATAAGTAGCATAATGTGGGACCAATAATATTAATAGAGAAGGAATTATTTATCATTATCAATATTTGAACACAAATATTGGTACTAAGGGGCACCAGATACATATGTGTCACACAAGTCACTTGATTTGTGTGGGCTATGATACAGCCCGGGTGCCAAACCGAACCAGGTGGTTTTCTTGGGGGTTCACACTCCGGAGCCTTCGACCTAGAGGTACGATCCACAAGGTAATGGAGCAATATTAGGAGATGCAGTTCCATGGTAGTCGGTGACCAACAGTTGATTCATACACCATTTGTTCCCTCAGGGTCCTGGATGCTATGTGCACTATTGGTTTGTAATCAGAGTTTTTCAACTTCTCTAGGTGGACTCTCCGTGTCCACCAACACGGTTAAATTGCCGGAAATTCGCTTTTTGTCTTCTCAATGTCCTAAACAACACCCCCGCCACGGAAAGGCAGTGAGTTGGAAAAAGGTTAATGAGAAAGTAAAATTGGTGAAATCCTCTAGTCATACATATTTATGAGTTTCTACTATTACTTTAATTGTTGATGGGTCTGTTAACTATTTATTAGTGGGTGGTGAAAAAATGATGCTTCTTTTAGAGCGATGTAATGCGACCATCATTTAGAGTGTTTACATTCAAAACAGTGAGTTTTTTTATTTTTGACTTGGAAAATATGTCTAACGACTTATTTATGTACCACAACATTATTTTACGTCATTTACTGTTTGTTTTATTCAGGTTTGTAAACACAAAAAATGTTTGTAATTGATTATGCAAACATTAAAATAAAACTTCTCAGCATTCTAAAAACAGGAAATATTTAGTATTCGTGAATAATTTTATAACTAGAAATAACAGTGAAAATGTCAGGGGGTGTTTTTACTTTAGAATATTTGTTGCGAAAACACTTTTCGAGTTAGATTAATCTTTACCTACTATTGTTATTGTGACCTTTATTGAGGAACTGAATTTCTTACTAAGACGATTTTTGTCTCCTTATATCATGTACTTTTAAGATTGACAAACAAAATAAGCAGTGTACTTCCTGATGTTAATGTTTCTCAAGTTATTCCCTTATTAAGTTTAGGGATTTCGA